CCCTCTAACTCGGAGTCCCTCACTTGTATTTTGAAGTGGATGAGGGAAACCAGTTTTTTGTACTTATCTTAACACCCTTTATAACTAACCTGCTCCTGTAATCTTTGATGTAATCTTACATCAACCCCTAGCCCTCCTCTTTGACTGCATCACTTGTGTAGATATATAGATCTCACCAGTGGCAGATCTAACACACTTGCCTTATTTTGGCTTTTCAGACTCACCAGTGATTCCACGGCTGCTCTCTTGCATGAATAATGCTCTTCTTTGGAGAGATCTCATTACCAAAACACAAAGTATTAAACAGAGTTCACTCCTGCACACAGGCAGAAGCAGAATGGGGGAGGAGGTGGGAGGCAGTGCTCACAGAACGATTTTTAAAGCCAGCTCCACAGAGGCAGCACAGAGAGGGAGGGAGGTAGCTCCGTGGGAGATGGTTTAAAAGCCAGCTCCCCACAAGCACCAGCTCCTGCCTGCCCCACTCTATGCTGCTGCCATAGGCGTGAGCAGGAGGTGTGCTGGATGTGCCCAGGCACACCCTAATATCTCAAAAAAAGTGGCTTTGTGTTTTAATTGAATCGCATGATACGCTCTTTTAAGTAAAGTTTAGTTGTTAATTTAAAAAAAATTAAGTATAGTTAAGTTTTAGTTTCTTTAGTTTGTTTGAGTAAAAATAATGTCCTTTATGATTGAGTATTCAATAAATGTTCACTTTTAAAAAAAAATAAAAAATAAAATTCCCTAGGTGCACACCCTAATGAAATATGCTGTGCATGCCTGTGGCTGCTGCCTTTGATACAGAGGCAGCAGTGGTGGGGGAGAGGAAAGGGTGCTGTGTGTAACAGTGAAGGGTAACCAATGAGCCCAGTTTCATCAGTTAACTGTTTGCATGTAAACACTATCACATCACTAGTAGATATAATCCTTAAAACCCCATTCTTCATATCCAACCAACCTCTCTGCTGGGAGTCCTTCCCAAACCATTTTCCAATATCTTCCATCCTGCCTAGGCTTCTTCTCAGTTCTCTTCTATCCCTCTGCTGGACAGCCATCCAACTCCTTCCAACTACAGTAGAGTACAACTCTTCCCACAACCTCCCTATTACGAGGTCATCTTCAGCAAGAGAGTATCCCTCACTCCCTCTGCCCCTCTCAGGTTATGTCTACACTTGCGGCTTCTTGCGCAAGTAATATGCAAATGATGCTAAGCGTGGAATATCGCCGAAAAACCGTCTTGCGCAATGCCGTTCTTCCTGAAAAGTAATAGGTGTAACGGCGTTGCGCAAGAGGGTTTTTCTTGCACAAGAAGGGGCAGTGTAGACACTCCTTATTGCGCAAGAACCTCTTCTGAAAAAATGGCGGTTCATTAGGTATGCAAATGAGGCTCAGCGATATTCCACGCTTAGCCTCATTTGCATATTACTTGTGCAAGAAGCCGCGAGTGTAGACATAGCCTCACTGTTTACAAGTCCAGCTTTCCAATATGGAGTTGTCAGCAGGCAAGTCCGTCCACTGTTCTCAGCCTTGAGCTTCAAGTCTCTAGCTTTGATAGTAACAAGCAACTTCATTTTGCTGCTCTTCGACCTTCTCTCAGGAACAAATCACAGCTCCCTTCCAGGACCTTCCATGGTCTCCGGCAGTGCTCAGCTGCTTTTTCCTGACTCAGGGTATGTCTACACTGCAGCATTTTTCCAGAATAATAGTCATTATTCCAGAAAAACAAAACTTGCATCCACACTGAAATAGCAAAAAGTTGAAATAACGGAGGGCTTTTCCCAACAGCGATAAACCTCATTCTATGAGGAATAACGCTTTTTCCAAAAAAGCATTTTTGGGAAAAGGCATATGTTGATGCAGAGGAGGGAGTTATTTAAAAAAAAAAAGAAAGAGGCCTCCAGGAAATAACACAGGTGGCGTTGGCCAATCTGTTCACACTCATCACAACTCTATAGTTCCTGTCTCCCAGCAGCTCTTAAAGCCATAGACATCTGGGACGGGGCTTGTGGTAGGAAGCCAGCCCCAGGAGCTGCAACTCACGGCACAACTGCTACTGCCACACATCTGGGCACTATGTCCCAGGGTCAAGCCCCCCAGGAGCTCACTGGCCCTCCCAGGGAGCATGCACAGGGCTTCCAGGAGCCTGCCGTGTGCCATCCTGGTCTGGGGCAGAGATCCTGTCCCTCGTGGAGGTATGGGGCAAAGAGGAGACCCTCCAGTATCTCTGCTCCAGATAGCATAACACCAACATATATGGCCAAGACTTTGGCCATGAGGGGGCCACAACAGGAGCCTTGAGCAAGTGAGGAGCAAGGTGAAGGAGCTGTGGCAGGGCTATGCCAGGGCAAGGGAGCGCAGCTCTCACTCTGGGGCAGGACCCCACTCCTGCCCTTACTATGCAGAACGGCACCACATCGGGGGGGAGGGGGAGTGCAACCCTTTCCCCACCTCTGGTGGTGGACTTGGGGCTGGAGACACCCGTTGTCACCCAGCCGGGGGTCCTAGCCCATGAGGAGGAGGGCGAGGAGCTGGAGAAGATCGAGGAAATGGCGAGCACCCTCACCCCACACACCTCGGAGCTGGTAGCCCAGTGCCTGGATGTCTCACTGGCAGGCTTGGGAGGGATCAGCAGGTGAGTGCTGTTAGTTTTTCTCACACACACAGGGTGGGGGTGTCAAGCGCTGAGGGACTGTGGTGCAGTCGTTGCTCCACCTTCTCGGCCTACCCCTTGCGCTGCAGTTTGTGCACGTGGATGCATGTACAGCGCTAGTCTGTGCCACGCAGCCCCTGGAGGCAGCGACGGAGCACCCCTTGTAGAGAGAAAATTTGTGAGATGCCATTTTGGCACGATCGCCATTTTGGAAGCCTCATAGAATAACAGGGACTCCATTTTGGCTGCCCTTCTTCCTCCTTTCAGGGCAGTTTCCTGCCCTTTCTGCATTTTGGTGGGAAACTCAGCAGACATGTGACCCAGGTCTGTCCAGTAACCCGCTGTTACTTAAGGGCTGCCTCTGGCATTGCATGGGGCTGCCCATCCAGTGGCAGAGTCTGGAGTAATTTTGGGAGGGTATGCCAGTACCACACATTAGGTTTCGGGTTGGGAAGGTGACTTATCTGCAAGCATGGGGTTGTGCAACCACTACCTGCCACCCCTCGTTAATTAGGACACATATGCACCCACGACGGCGCAGGGAGGGGAGCGGGCCGACCATCGCAGGTGCTGAGCAGACCCAGCTGATCATTCTTACCTGTGGTGTAACCTGGAGATGGAATCCAGAGCCATTCCATTGCTGTGAGGGCCCTTCCAAGCTGCAGGACATGGTAGAGACCTTATAATATACCATCTACTTACCTGGGTTTTCTTCCTTACATCCTTCCCGAATCACAATCCAGTACCATCCTCATGTTATTTCCCTTTTATTTGTGGGATCCTGTTTATAGTTATCTTTTATTTGTTTGAACTGTTAAATAAAAACCCTGTTGGTTTATCCCAGTCATCTATTAATTTCTTGGGCCTGGGACAAACTCCTGATGATAGCAGTGAGTTAGGGGAATGTTCCTCTAAGCTGGTTCCTTTTGGCCAGGCAAACCAGTCAACACCCCGGGCTCCTGTTCAGAGGCTCTGGGTAGGCCAGACACACTGCTGAGCCCCGGGGTGGGGATGCCCTTTCACCCCCAGCCATCACTGGAAGGAGGCCGCAGACAAGGGCACATGCATGCACATAGACGGAGGAGTGCTGCACAGAAGCATGCCTGCATGCTCAAGGCACCACCTGCTCCCGAGGAGTGCTGCTAGGTGCAGGTGTGTGTGCAGCCCCAATGGAAGCCCAGGCTGCTTGAGGCCCCTCTCCCGCCCATTGGATCCCAATGTGTCTGGATACTTCCCTTGCCTGCTTGTCCATGGGATGGGGGGGAGGGGACAAAAAGCCTGGGCCCCTGAGCACCTCTGGGTGTCTGTGGGCAGGGTCTGCTGTCCAGGCCACACATGGCCTTGCTCCCAGGACATCACCACCCTCTGGCCTGAGGACTGTTGCTCTCAGCTCACAGGGCTGCAACATCCGTGCCACCATCCAGAAGATGATGACCTACCCTGCTCCTGTCCCTGCTTCCCCTGCCATGCCAGCCCCTGCCATGCCTGACACTGCTCCAGCCCCCACTCCTGTTCTCCCAGGACCCCCCCACCCCTGACGTCACTGAGGTCCACGGACATGAGATGGAACTGCCATCCGAACCACATGCCAGTCTCAGCCCAAGCTCTGAGCCTCCCCCTCAAGTTCTCATTTCTCCTCCCCATACTCAGGTTCTCATCCACCCTCTCTCCTCCCCCTATGCAGGTTCTCAGCCCCCACTCCTCCTCAGTTACTTTTATTTAAAAAATACAATTTTTTGTTTGAAACACAAAACTGGTGTTTTTATTGACTGTACAGGAAAGGAGGGAAGGCATAGAGCAGCAAGTCACAGGCTCCTAGGGGGGAGGCCCTGGGGAGAGGTACTGGGGTCCTTTAGAGCAGTGGTCTCCAACCTTTTTAAGCACAAGATCACTTTTTGAATTTAAGTCAGTCCAGGACCTACCTCAAACCCAAATATCCCTGCCCACCCCCTCAGTGAGGCCCCACCCTCTTTACTCTGTGGAGATGGGGTACAGAAGAGGGGGAACAGAGTAACGTAAGTGCCCCCTGCTTCTTTCTCCCCACATTGAATTTAAGTCAGTCCAGGACCTACCTCAAACCCAAATATCCCTGCCCACCCCCTCAGTGAGGCCCCACCCTCTTTACTCTGTGGAGATGGGGTACAGAAGAGGGGGAACAGAGTAACGTAAGTGCCCCCTGCTTCTTTCTCCCCACAGGCAGCTCTGAGGCTCTAGGCAGGAGCAGCAGGGCAGCGGGGAGAGGGGCAGCTGAAGTGCCAACACTTGATAGCCTCCCAGCCAAACCAGTCAGGATCACCTGTCAGAAGCTTCAAGATCTATCCATAGATCCTGATCTACTGGTTGGTGACCACTGCTTTAGAGAAACTTTCTCAGGGCCTCCCAGATGCAGCCCCCTACTTGACGGACCTGGTGGATGGCAGCTACGTGTGGCTGCTTGAAGGTCTGTCCCTCGGCCTCCACCTCGGTAGGAAGGCCTTACCCTAGCTCTCCACAACGTAGTGAAGAACACAACATGCAGAGACTACCTGGGGAATGTTGTGTTCCCGACATCCAGATGGGTCAGGAGGCACCTGAACTGCTCCTTCAAGCACCCAAAGGTGCATTCCACCTGGATGTGGGCCCTACCCAGCTAGACATTGAAACGGTCCCTGCTTGGGTCCAGATGGCTGATGTACGGCTTCATAAGCCACAGCATGAGAGAGTAGGCCACGTCCCCCACGATGCACAGTGGCATCTCCATGTCCCCAACCATGATCTTTTGCTGGGGGAAGGAAGTACCAGTCTCTAGCTTCTGATAGAGGCTGGAGTTTCTGAACATGCGGGCGTTGTGCATCCTCCCTGACCAGCCAATGAAAATGTCTGTGAACTGTCCACAGTGGTCGACCATGGCCTGCAGGACCATAGGAAAACAGCCCTTGCAGTTGATGTACTGGGCAGCTAGGTGTTCTGGGGCCTGGATAGGGATGTGGGATCCATCTATGGCTCCCCTGCAATTGGGGAAGCCCAGGGTGACAAATCCAGCCATGATGGGGTCCAAGTCTCCCAGGTGGATGACCCTGCACAGCATGATGGAGTTTATGGCTCTTACCACCTACAGGAGACAGACAGAAACAGAATCAAAGGGGGTGCTTGAGTCCTTGGGAGGTTCCTGAACCCTCCCCCTTCCTCTCCCCACAAACACCCCAGAAGCCACAGCTCTGAAGCCACCCCCCTACAGGGCTATGAGAGGGCAGAACTGCAGAACCCTCTGGGGACAGGGCTTCCCTCCACATCTCCAACCTCCCTATCCCTAGTGTCCCCCTTTCCAGTACTCTCCCCTTCTGCAGGACCTGCAGCCTGAGTGCATATTACCTCCATGAGAAGGGCCCCAACAGTGGACTTTCCCACACCGAACTGGTTGCCCACAGACTGGTAACTGTCTGGGTGTCACGTCGACGGAGGCCAGGAGCAAGCCAGGCACACAGCTCCATGAAGGTCACCTTCCTCATTTGGAAATTGTGGAGCCACTGCTGGTCCACCACTTGGAACTGGTGTCCAGCCTCCAGAACCTTCTCTCCACAATGGAGTGCTATTGCAAGGGCCTTGCTCCTGCCCACACAGGCAGAAGGTCTTGAAGATGAGCTCTGAGTCCAGCTCATGCAGAGCCATGAAGGCAGCCTGCAAAAACTGCAGCATGGCAGTGTGGGGCCATCACATACCCAGTAAGGATGTTACATATCTGTTAATTGAATAGTTGAGTAACCTCATGAATTCCTGTCAGTCAAATATTCTGTAGCCCCTGGGGGCATGACTGGAAGCAGAGCAGGGTGACAGGCAGGAGCTAGTCCGCAAGGTGAGCCAGTTTAAAAAATATCTACTGTTGCAGACCAGCTGCTTGTCACCCTGTGCTGCTGCCTCTAATAAAAAGGCAGCAGCGCAAGGTGGCAGCAGCCCCTGTCTGGGGAGGCTGGTCTGGGCTCCCAGACCCAGCGCAAACTGGACCTGAGCAGGGCAAGCTGCCCACCCAGCGCCTAATGCACTTTAAATGCAGATCCACAGCAGGGATAGGTCCGGGACCCAGCGTGAGCTAGGACTGAGTCGGGCTGCTGACCAGCCTGCTAAAAAAATGTACTGGGGGGGGGGGGGGGGGAAGGGAGGGGGAAGGGGG